CCAGCTAAAAAGGACTTTGGCTCTAGAATGCCAAAGGCATGTCCTAGGCACATGCCTACTACCCCCTAGGACCTTAGTAAATATTTACTGAATGAATGGGGGCGGAAATGGGGCCGAATCTCAAATTATCTATTGGTCTTTGGAGTGCTTTCTTAGTTACTTCAAAGATAAAATGAATAACTATGTGTGAAGTATTTGATTATGCTTGCCACATGATAATCATGTTAGCTATAAATGTTTGCTGTGATCTCAGAATTAAATTATAAAGTTTTTATGAGAAATTTTACAGAAATAATCATTGCTCAGCTTGAAGAACTTCATAGTAGAATCTGTACATGTCTACCATTGACCAAGTCTATACTATTTTGTGTGCTATACCCTTATGTACCATAACTGAGTATTCCTGCTACTTTGGGTATAACCTTACATTTGAGATTTTGTTTCTAGCATTTGAAAGCCATGGTTATTACTTTCTAAATAGCCTGCTTTCAGGTGAGAGGAAAGGTCTCCATACTGTTAAGAGATATTCTGTGCCTTCATAGGGGGTAAAATGGTTGTTGTTTTGACATACTCTTGAAGCATTTGTGTCTCTGTTTTTACCAGATGGTAGGAAGGATAGTCATGGGGGTGCTGGGTGCTTTTCCCAGATCCACCTTTGCAAAATTTAAGGGTAGTCTTTGACTCATTACTCCTTCTAACTAGTCATCAGAATTCCCCAAAACCATGAGGACAGGTAAACTCACTGCCCGCCTGTAAATGTAAGTACTAGCTCTTGCCTAAGTTTTAATAATTCAGTTGGGAGGAATTCTTAAGAGAGCAGTTAAAAATTTGCTCACTTCATTTCCCAGCACCCCCCATAGAGATCCCGAAAGTGGTCTCATGTAGGTCTCACACCCATTCCTAAGGCCTTCTGGGGAAAACCCCAGCTATGTCACTGGATGGAGAAAAGGTTTCACATCCTTGAGTCATTTTTATTTTAACAAGAACTGTGTTTTCATGGCGACAGTGCCATAATGTAGGATGTTATTATTCCAACCAAAGAGGCAATGTGGGAACTCTGGCCTTTTCAAACCACCACCTCTACACCCCCACCCCAGCCCGTCACTTCCCTCTGAGTCAGGGTGAGAGGTTTTCTCAATTTTGAGGCCATCTCAAGGACTAAGATTTCCATCTCCATTGGCGTGAGGAAAATTTCTTCTCAAACAGCATCCCCCATTATTTCTTAGTTATTGACATTATGGTGCTTCTTAAAGGATGAGCAGTGTGCTGGGTTCAGTGCCATACAGTAAAAGGGCACAGAACTAACCTGAGGATTGTCACAGAGCCTGAGAGAATTGAATTTGAGGACAAAGCACTAGGGCGGCTAGTACTTTGTCTCTTTTCAAATTGACTTTGCACACTCGGTCAGACCTAGGCTTTAAACCTGATTCCACCACGAGCAGGGTGTGTGACCTTGCACGAGGCATTGCGACTCTCTGAACCTCACTCTGCCTTCTCTTAGTGAAGCTGGTGATACCAGCCTCAGTGGGACATTGAGGGCCTGACCAAGCTGCAGTGTGGAAAGCTTCAGGTGGGCAGAATATGTAGCAAGTGCTGGTTGGTGGTGGCTACTAGCTGCCCCCTATTGCTACAAATGCAGATTTTTCACAGAAAAGAATACTGTTGTGTTGGTAGCTATAAGACACCTGCTTGCTTCCATGACAAAAGCTTACCTCCTAGCACCCCCATGCCTGAGACCCCTACCCCAGGCTGAAAGCAACAGAGTGTGTAAAGAGGATCACTGAGGCAGCCAAGGACTCCAGTCCCTGGGAAACCAGCCAGCTGCTGCATGGTCAGTGCGGGAGCAGGAGTCAAGGGACTTCAGGAGTAGATAACAAGGGGACAGAAAGCGGGGCTGCTGGTACCCGAGGTCACACAAGCGGGTGCCAGAAGTAGTACCACATTCACACCCCTGAGCTGATCAAACTTTGTCTGCTGGACTAACCCAAAGGGCTCAGGTCAACGCAGCTGTCCTGTAAGTCGTGGGCAGTATCAGCCACACCGACTTTCAGCCCATGCTGGGGACACCACAGGACTCATAAGAAACACTGGTGGCCTGAAAGGCTTGGGTTCTCATTAAACCAGAACGGTTTTGGAAAAGGAGGCTGGGAGTGTGGGGTGGTAGAGGCCTAAGGGAAGACCCAGGGGTAGGTGATGTGATGTTACAGTTGGGCCGCTCCCAAACCGTGTGCATGTGCGTGTGCGTGTGCGTGTGTGTGTGTGTGTGTGTCCCTATTAACACAGCTCCCTGGGAGCCCGGAAGTGGGGCTTGGTTTTCAGTGAAGCCACAGCTGGTAGGGGCTGTGCCATCAGCAGTGTGTTGACGGTACATCAATGACCAGATGCCCTTCTTTTTAGGACTTTACATACACTTAAAGATGTGACTCAAAACCCATCCTGCCACACAGCTTTTGCGGCTTCTCCCTATCCCTATTCGAACCGACCCTCTCAAGCTCTGAGATCCAACACTTAGATGTCTTTGGTCTTAATCACCGTAAAGGTTATTTGCAAATAGCTCTGTGTGTAGCCCTCTGCCTGTCTCTCCCCTTCCCTAAATATCTTTAAAATCCACCCAACTGGTGTCATCCTAGTTCAGTCCCATCAGCCCTGCCCACTGCCACGTGGCCTCCAGTTCCACACACTGATCATAGAGGTCACTACGCAGACTGTCCTCATCACCCAGCAGCCTCTGTCAAGCCCTTCAGCGTGGAGTCCAGCCCACGTCACATGGCTCACATGTCTGTCCTCCCCTGCTACTGAGGTCCTCACGTCCCCCACACAGGCCCACCCTCACGCGCACACGTCCCTCCTCCGCCCTGGCCTCTAGGGCAACTTGGCCTTTCCCTTCTCACTACCTGTTCTAATCGTTTCACTAGGGGGTGGGGTTGCTGCTACTGTTTGTCTCTCCCGTCCATAAGAATTGACACTCTGGGAGGACAGGAGCTGTGTATGGTGGCACCAGGCAGCAGACAGCAGAGTGAATGAAACGACAAGCAAACAGACTTGACCTGAGAAGAATCTGATAAGATGACGTACACGAAGCGCCCACTCGTGTGTTTATAACTTAGCTGGCCCTCATGTACAGTCGATCGTTACGTTGTTTTGTTCATTTATTAAGTGCCTGCCCAGTATCCATGGGGATACAGCAGCTAGCAGAACAGATAAGTCTCTGCCCTCGGCTCGGCGCCTATAGCTCAACCGGCTAAGGCGCCAGCCATGTACACCTAAGGTGGCGGGTTCGAATCCCCAACCCGGACCCGCCAAACAACAATAACGGCTGCAACCAAAAAATAGCCGGGCGTTGTGGCGGGCACCTGTGGTCCCAGCTGCTTGGGAGGCGGAGGCAGGAGACTCGCTTGAGCCCAGGAGTTGGAGGTTGCTGTGAGCTGTAATGCCATGGCACTCTACCCAGGGGGACAGCTTGAGGCTCTGTCTCAAAAAAAAAAAAAGTCTCTGCCCTCCTGGGCCTTGCCTCTGAGTGTAATGTAAACAGCTGTGGACAGACGTATGGACATTTGCCTTCTTTCTCTTTTTTGGCCCTCTGTCTCAACTTTCCACCAGACCTCTCCTCTTAGGATGCTGAGCACCCCATCCTACCTGGGACAGTGGTCACCAGGCTACAGCCACTCTTGCCAGAGTCACCTTGGCAAGGGAGGAGGCCCAGGGGCCTTTAGCAGACTTGAGCCACTCCTCAGACTGCTGAACAGAATCACTTCCTCTGCCCTGGCTAGAAGAAATAGGTCAGGAGTAAAATTAGAAAATCAGAAGCCCGCTTCCTGGACACGTGCTAAAATGCAGCTGCCACCTCAGGCTGCTAAACCGCGCACCTTCTCACATCCCCAGGGACCCAAGTGTACAGACCCAGGCACCTGCAAATGTCCACAGCGCCAGGCTGACCTGCCTCAGAGAGGAGTAACCTCGGCCTCCCCTCTGCATAGTCAAAGCCATCCATCCTGCCATCTAGGAAGAAAAGCAGGCTGCCTCCCCAGACCCAGGCTCTACCCGACACCTTGCCTCTTCAGCTCAAGGCTATTTCCAAACCAACACTGAACCCTGAAAGCAAAATCTGTCACTCAGAACCAGCCCTCAGTTGTGCAGGGGGCAGCTCTGGCCTGGGCTTGTCTGCCACCCGTGCAGGGTTCATTCCTGGTTGTGATACTCCTCACCCTCCCCCAACCCTTGTTTGGCTCCCTCCTCAGCACACTCTCAGCCAAAGTGACATTAGCTAACCAGGACCTATGGGGTTATTTGCTTTTCCCTTAGGTCATTTACATTTCCTTAGGAACCATTGGAGGACCAATTAGGGGAGGTGGCTTCCTGCACACCACCACACCCGTGGCAGACTTCTCTGCCTTTGCTTGTGCATGGAACTGGGAGATTATAAGATCATCTTGTTTTTGTTGCAGAAATTTCCAGAATTGAAATTCAAATATGTGGAAGAGGAGCAGCCAGAGGAGTTTTTCATCCCCTATGTCTGGTCTCTTGTCTACAACTCAGCAGTGGGCCTCTACTGGAACCCGCAGGACATCCAGCTGTTCACGATGGATTCCGACTGAGGGCCATAGGCCCTCTCCCACCCTCCCTCCAGCCAAGCAGCCCTCCGAGTTCCTCTGTTTCGGGGCATCAGAAGTAGACAATTGCCTGGTGTATCTCCTGCTAAAGAGGATTATACAAGTGTGTTTCTTGCCCTGCACACGCTTTGGAGAATTGGTGCCAGTTGGCAGTAGATCATTCAGCTTAGATTGTAGGGAAAAAGGGGGAGAATACACAACGATAATAAACATAAACACTTGCCATTCAATATGCAATTTTATTTCTTAAACCAAAAATCTAGAACTTTCCCAGGATCCCAATGCCTTAGGCACGTAACACTTCAACAGTGCACACTTTTTTTTTTGCATGTTTAAGATTTTTGTGATGATAGCGTGTGTGCGTAAGACAGAGAAAGAGCTATTTCTTTAACATTAAGGAGTATCAGTGAGATCTGATATTGAGACAGGAATTAACAAGGAAACACAGTCATGCATGTGAGCTTGTCTCTGAGAGGGCCCATGATTTCATAAACACTCTACCTGGGCAGTTTGATATTTATCTTTACAGAAGCTGCGTCTTTCCCTCAAAGAACAAAAATGAATCCTCCTCATGGAACCTGGATTGACTTGTCTGTGGATTTGGCCTTGGAGCTATAGCTGAATCTAGTACAAATTAAGTTAACTCCCCCTACTCTGTATTAATGACTGGGCAAGGAAGAACTTAATTTTGGTCTTTTTCTGTTGGTTTATTTTTGGTTTCTTTCTTTTTCTTTTTTTTTTTTTGAGACAGAGCCTCAAGCTGTCACCCTGGGTAGAGTGCTGTGGCATCACAGCTCATAGCAACCTTCAACTCCCGGGCTCAAGCAATTTTTCTGCCTCCACCTCCCAAGTAGCTGGGACTACAGGCACCTGCCACAATGTCTGGCTATTTTTTGGTTGCAGCCGTCATTGTTGTTTGGCAGATCCGGGCTGGATTCAAACCCACCAGCTCAGGTGTATGTGGCTGGCACCTTAGCCACTTGAGCCACAGGCACCAAGCCAAAAAGCTTAATTTTGAAAGTAGTCTTTTTCCTTCAATCAGATTACTAGAAGAAAAAAAGGAGGCCAGTTTGTTGATACCATATTTTACATGAGATGAAAAGCATTTTTTACCTTTGATTTTTAAAACACTCTTTGGTCTTGTTTGGTCCCTGAGCTAGAGGAAGGAGCTCCTCTGAGGGAAATGGCCACCAGCGTTGTGCTGAGCAGACCAGTGGGTACTGAGGATGGTGGGTGGGACGGGGCAGACCATCCTTTTCAGGTTGCACTCTACATCGTCACCCTTCACATGTAGATGAGGAGCCCAGTTTGATTTTCAGAGACACAGAGAGTATTTGCCTTTCAACGGAGCACGTAATCCCAGATGAAACTGAGCCCCTCCTTCAAATTGCTGTTGTCACCTCATCTGTGTCAAGATCCGCATCTCCTGTCCCCCATGTCCCTAGGCGCCGGGGCTGAGTTATTTTGGTCCATCACCATCCTCTGACAGTCCAGGAGAAGCCCTTGTCAGTCACCCCGAGGTCTGTAAAAGGCACAATCTTTGCCAGCCTCCTGGTGCACCTGTGTGATTTCCCCGCAGGGACAGCCAGGCTGAGCTGCCCTCAGCAGGCAATTGAGGTGCACCAATCTTCTCTTCCTCACCTGGACGGGGGTAGCACATAAGTTCCCTGAGGCGGAGTGACTTGTGGAGGGCCTGTCCCTGGAGGGGTGGTCCAGAGGCAGGTGCAGCTCTCCCCTTGCCCCCTCAGTGCCTATTCTGCGGAGCCTCTTGCTGTCCTAGTGCATAGAGTTCACTGCAGGTGTGTGCAGGGCCTGCCAGTCAGAGATGAGGCTTGTCAAGGACACTACTTAGTCCCACTGGGGGAGGGGTGATCCCCTGCCAGAGGGGGGTGTGACTATACTTATTTCCTATGTGAGAAAATCATTAACAGCTTTGTTTCCAAAGCATTTTGATTTGCTTCCTTTTCCTTTAAACCAAAAATTAAAAAAGAAAAATTGAAGGGTCATGTGAAGCAACCAAGCTTCTGATAGGACCATGGAATTGTCTTCTGAGTCTAAGCGCTGGTCGGTACCATGGGACAGTCACTGGGTTACAGGACCATCAGCTCTTGTGACCGCAAGACATAACAATCTCCCCAAAGCCCAGTCGTCTTGATAGAGGGCAGACTCCCAAGAAAGCCCGGGTGAAAGGCATCACATAGCCTCTCCACTAAGCCTCCTGAATCACTGAGGTGCCCCCTTCCCTCTCCTTGCTTCTCACCCAGCACACAGTAGACGTGCTCCCAGGTCTAAGAGCTCAGTGGGCAGCAGCCTCTGAGGAGGCCTGGGAGGGGCTCCGCCTCATGTTTCAGGCCCCCGGCTCCCTCTGCGCATGCAGAGCCCCCCAGCTCTGCAAAGCCACCACGAGTCTCTTCCCTTATTTTTGTGAAAGATTTATTACGTGGCAATAAACTAAAATGTTAAACTTCAATTATGCTTCTGTTGATTTTGAGTGTTTGCTTAGACATCTTTTTGTTTTACACAAAGTAAAAATGTATAAAATGATAAAACACAGAATCATCACGTGTTCTGGTGGAAATTAACATTGGATTTTACCCACCCATGTGGCTGTTATTGCAGTGTGTCATTGTATCCGCAAAGAGTTCTGCCACAATATTTATTTCTGAAAGAATGGGCCCCTTTGAATAGCACCTTCCCTATCAAGAGTTCAAGACATTTAGCAAAGAAGCTTCAGAATTCTGTAGTTCCCACAGCCACCCCTGAGGCCAGTGTCACAGTATCTGTGAACAATAGCCTTGCAACAGGACTGCTACTATTCAACAGTGCAGACAGCACAGCTCAAGGACAAAGACAGAGAAAGGAAAGAAGAGAAGGTCCCCGAAGGTGAAGCATAGAAAGTTCACTGCACACACAGCTCTCTCTGGAGGGAAATCACAGGAGCTAAAAGCAGGAGGTGGAAAGAGGGAAGAACAGGACCAGTGTCAGAACTTGGTGACATCCACAGGAGCTTGTTAAGATGCATCAAAGAGGAGCGTTTAGTAAGAGGGTCCTTTTAGACACTACATTTCTTTATGTTAGGCACCATACGTATTTCGCCTTCAGACTCTGGGGAGCCAGGGTTTAGCATGAGCGTTGTGGCCGTCTGCACAACTGAGTCGCCCCCATGCTGCTCTGCAGGGCTGTCAGAGTTTGGTACTTCCTGATTTTATAGGCTGAGTTTGCAAGGTCGGCCGTTTGCATCTCTTAATTCTGTCCTAGGCAACAATTTCAGTAGTTGCGTTACATATTAGGGACTGATCCTTGGGTCCCCAGCTCCAAATCTGGGGCTAGTCCAGGAGGATAATCCTACTTTATGTCCAAGAGGCAAAGAGGTCAGGGTTTCTATTCTCTTTTGAAGAGCTGTGCTTACCATGAATATGAAAAAAAGAGCACACGATCCACTGCAAAAAATGCATGTTTCTTTTTTAAGAGTTCTATAAAAGCATAAAATTAAATCTCTTTAGGGCAGTGATTTTCAACCGATGTGCTGTGAAAGTTTTTAAAGATCATTAAATTATTTTAGAAAGATGTTCAAAGCACAGTAAGCCTACTCCTTTTATTACTCTTTTTTTAATCAACATAATTTAAGTGTGCTGTGGAAGTTTAACTATAGGTTCAAGTGTGCCGTGAGTTTAAAAAGGTTGAAAAACACAGCTTTACGGTATAGTTATTCATGGTCCCCACCCAAAGCAGGGGAGATTCACCAGCAGACCCCTACTCCTTTGGTCCAGCCCCTCATCTGACTTCTCAAAGCTGTCTAAATGCCAGCTCTCAGACATAGGCTGTGGGATTAGCAACAGCCCTCAGGGGAAAAGCTGCCTTGTACAGCTGGACAGGTAATACTTCACCATCCTGTGGACTCTGGAATGCCTTCAGGCACATTTTTAAAATATTTTGACCTGATTTCCAAGTTGTCCTTAGCTGGAGGGTTGGTCCTCCATTACTATCATTAGACTATCACTCACTGGTACTGTAGCTCAACTTCTAAACCACCTCGTACCTGAATGTGGATTAAGGCGCAACCAGATTCCCAGTGCCCCAGATGCCTCTGTGAAGCAAAAGTAAACTCTGAAGGAAGTAAACATTACCCAAGGCCTGGAATTATTTCTATACTGTTACAATGAGAAATATCCAGGGATGGCAAGAAGACCAGACAGTATCAATTATTTGAATTAAAACCATTAAAAAAAAAAAAAAAAACAGTAAAAGTACCCGAAAGGGCTCCAGATTTGTCAGTCACAGAATTTGAAACAGCTGTGCTCACTGTGTTCAAAAACATAAAACGTGTGATCAAGAATCTTAGCAGAGGCTCGGCGCCT